TTTAGAATTTACGGCGACCCCTACCTTCTTCTACCGCAGCAAATATCTCGACTTCTATTCAAGATAGATGGGTGTTTTTTTTCCATTACAAAAACGTCAAACAAACCAGCTACCAGACGACACAAACAACTCCGTATGCCCCAAATTTGACGAGCGTCTGATTCCTCCGCGTTGTGACACAATAAATGATGAAAACAAATGTTTGTAAGAACCGTGTGGTGAAAGTGACAAAATGAACAGAAGGAAGAGATGGAGATGGCCGGATCTGTCAGACCTGTACACACAACATATCAGAACAAAAATACAAAAAAAAATGAAAAAAAAAAAGAAGAAAAAAATCAAGTTTATCTGAGCATTCTGAGACTGAACAGACTTTCCCTGTCACGTGATGTGCTCTCATCTAATCAGACAAACCCTCACTTCCCCAGTCACGTGATGTGCTCTCATCATATCAGACAAACCCTCACTTCCCCAGTCACGTGATGTGCTCTCATCTAATCAGACAAACCCTCACTTCCCCAGTCACGTGATGTGCTCTCATCATATCAGACAAACCCTCACTTCCCCAGTCACGTGATGTGCTCTCATCTAATCAGACAAACCCTCAGATCTTCCTGCGTAGACAGTCACATAAATCACTCATCACAAAGATTGAAAGTGGCGGACAAAATAAAAACAAACACACAAACTTATTATCAAACAAAGTTATCAACAAATAAACAAACAACAAACAAAGTTATAAACAAACAAACGTATAAACAAACAAATTAACAAACAAACAAAACAACAACAAACACAACTGATGAAACAAAAGAAGTAAGTTGAAGGTTTTCAACTCACTGAATCCGTGACTCCCACCACATGACGTCATCACCACATGACGTGTGACATTTCCCTACTTATGACACCCCACTGGTGTCATCACCACATGATGTCATCCCCACATGACGTGCGACATTTCCCTACTGACCACATCCCACTACTGTCATCACCACACATCATATTTTTGTTTCCTCTGATACTTTCGCAAATACGAAATAATATTAACAGCAGATAGATCTACCATTTGTTTGGCTCTTCTTCTCAACTTTCGTTCCTTGCCGAAAAATCCCCTAACCCCATCTTAGTTTAAGATATAGATTTTCTACAATTTCTAAACTGCAGTCGATTGTGGGCCTCTGCTCAGGTCCACATTTGTTTCTAGATAGCACTATAGAAATCCCCCCCCCCTTTTTTTCCCCCTCAATCTTTTCCACTTCCATCCACACACAATCGCGATAGATGTGCACATCCTATCGGTTTATTCACGGTCTAAAACCTAATCCAGGCAGGGGGAGACTCGGAACAGCCTACTTGGACAGTCGAAATAGTTGAGTGCCGAGGAAAGATTAGGATCATAATACATCTCCTTTCTAAGAGCATCCGAGCAAAGGAACGGAGGCTGAACCATGATCGCCGATGTCTGCCACAGATCTGGCACTTGTTGATGATGACAATGATCCTGATTCAAACCTTGTGTTTGACCTAATTACAGACATAATTTAGAAACTAATTACTTTTAGAAAAAGAACTATTTCCCCCAGGTATCAGTGGATAGGCTTTCCCGCGGGGCCACAGATTCAGCGAGTTACCCCGCGGGGCCACAGATTCAGCGAGTTACCCCGCGGGGCCACAGATTCAGCGAGTTAAAACAGTCACAAATATGTCAAGTTAAAATGCAACAAATTATCAAAACATAGAAATGGTAGCAACAAAACAAAAGCTGAACACTTTATCTTTGATTCACCAACATCCTAAATGTACCTGAGCCAAACACACACACGTGGACGCACCCTGTCCAGATCTCTGTGCCAAGTTTATATTTAGAAAATGACGTAACACACAGCACACACACACACACACACACACACACACACACACACACACACACACACACACACAGCATACCAAACGTCAC